TATATATATATATATATATGACAGATATATATATATATATATATATATATATATATATATATATATATATATATATATATAGAGAGAGAGAGAGAGAGAGAGAGAGAGAGAGAGAGAGAGAGAGAGAGAGAGAGAGAGAGATTGGTAGGTGGGGTTGGATAGACTTAGAATGCCCATCTATATGTTTCTTTATTGGCCAATTAGTCTGCTGCCTTACCAACCAACATAATGAGAGAGAACGGTTGAGGGAGGATAGTGCGCCATAAGAATGTTGTCATAGTCTTGGCTTATTGGCTGTGAGACTCGAAGTTTCCAACCAAACTTTCTAGCTATTTTTTTAAATATCGAATGTAGTCTTTTGATTGTCTTGTATAATGGTTTATATCTGACAGATATACTCTTTCCCTACGCCTCAGTGTGTTTTACTACGCCACTTTTACAGACCCTAGGGAGCACTTGTTATAGTCTGAACAATTCCGTTTTCGAAAAGTTATGAATATATCTCATAAATAACTGTTTCATTTATCGAAATGGTATTTTCAATTGCTTGGAGACGTTTCTTATTGACATTGCCTATATCACTCTCATTCGATTGTTTGTTTGAAAGTGTTTTGTAACTTAGTGAACTTTATCACCTCTATATTCAAATCGATGAAACATCTTTTTCTTGGGGGGGGGGCCCGAGTGGCCGAGTGGTCTAAAGTGCTGTCCGTTACGGATCACTGCCATCTCACCTCTATCTCCGTGGGTTCGAGTCGAGGATTCGGCGAATGTGGATATGTGAGAAAGCTTGCCAGTAGCTTCTCGTGGGTCGGTGTTTCTTTCCGCGGATTTCCCGGTTTCTTCCTCCACCATTAATACTGGCCGCCATGAATAGCCTATCGTGTGCTGAAAAATGGCGTTAAGCCCAACAACAACAACAACAACAACATCTTTTTTTATAGTTCATTCACAAACAAATCTAATCAACCAAAACCTAAATCGTCTGCTACAGGATTGTATAAGGTTTAAATACAATGTAGTTCCTTATACACCTTGACACACGTGTCTTGAAGTATGAAGCCATACAGTAGCAAACAATACTTAACGATTAGGACTATATAAATTTGACGGAGAAATAAAAATGAGCATATAATAATTTGAGAATACAGAAGCAACATTATACTGTTGAAATATAACCTTCATTTCAAATGAAAATTTATATCATGAAACTTCATTGCATTTTGAAATTGGCGTTCGTAAAACGAAAATGTAATACATTATAGTAAAAACATCAAGTTATACATAACAAATATCTATATGCGTAATAATGCGATCGTCTTTTGTTCCAGTGACATTCAACAAGGAGCCAAAAATCTGCCTGTGATTCGAGACATGCTCTTGGACTTGGAAAAGGAAGTCCTACCCGTGAATGACGCACAGTCACGTCAAAACTGTGCGGGTTTTCTCTCCAAATGTGGGTCTTTTATTCCCTGCTGTCCACATAATTCTAAACAGAAAGGTCCCCTCTGCTGCAAGTACCCGCCTGGAGAAAATTTACAAAGGGGAAACGAGATCTACCAGAAGTTTGGTTTTTGCTTACCGGCTTCTTTGTATTGCAACAATAAGCCATTTGTTCTCTGAGAAAATAATGAGAAACATCCTTTACATAAAAATGAAGTTTCCATATTTCTTAATTTTTTTCTTCTCCTCTATATTTGTAACAACTTAATCTGATATTCTTATAGGTCATTTTTACTGCAGACATTATAACATTCGTTTCCTTATAATATTGGAAGAAATTGTATGTATTTCGATATTTTTACTCATAATACTTTCCTTTCAACATGTTTTTCACTAAATTATATAAACTTACATATTGATTTGCCACAATCATTAGGTCTAGCTTCTTTCATTGTTTAAAGAAACACAAATTTATAACTTCATCTATATTGACACAGAACTGTGTTTATCATATACCCTTAATTACTGATCTGAAATAGTCTGTATCCACAGTGTCTCTATTTACTATATATTTCATTGTTTTACTCGAAATAAAGATACCTGATAAGACTTGTGTTTGGCAAATAAATTTACCACCACCACAGCCACCATCACCATCACCATCCTCCTCCTCTTTATCATCATCTTTATCATCATCATCTTCTTCTTCTTGTCTGTCCTTTATCATAGCCGTTTACTTTGTTGTTGTTGTGATGTTCTGCCATTGTTTTGGCAGTGTTGTTACTCTTATTATTGCTATTATTTCTAAGTCTATATCTATCTTTATGTTTTTGTTCACGTTATTGTTCTTCTCATTTGCCATGCCATTGTACTGAACAGGTCTCATCACGATCCACTAAACAGCTCTGGAGTTTGTCAACTCTTTCTAAACAACCTGAGATCGTTTAGTTTGTCTCATGTGCCATGGACTGAGAGAGATAATATAAAATCAGGCAGCGTTAAATTTTATGGAAAACTGTCCCAACAATAAAATTAAAATATTGCCCAAAGGTTATAAAGCTTGATCTTTTTAGTCAGGTTATTTTACGCAGTAATTGACATAAAATAATCTTTAAGATGAAAGTTAGATACCGCCACAGGAAATCCATAATATTATCACAATAATGCTATCTTGATTGCTAGCAAGGCTGGACCTTAACCAGACGGGAAGGATTTAGTACTGACCTGCATTTTCAATCGTCCGATAAATAAGCCCCTCTCATCCCCGAGCTTTATTGATACTGACGGACGATATGTCGTTATGATATCACCTGTGTATTAAAGTGTGAAATTCTGCGGCATGAAAATCTTTCTAGAATACACCTATGTACAGTTTAGACACTTACGACTAATTTTGCAACAGCCAGATCTAGCGCAAAATTCAAAAGGGCAGAGGGCTGTGTTTTTTTTTTCACGTGGATTTACGAGCAGCCAAACATAGGATTTGACCCGGATTAGGAGGCGCTTTACAATAGGAACCTGGCTACTCCGACAAATGACCAATAGCTTTTGGGTTTGAATTGCCCCTTTTTGGGCAAGGCAATCACTCCAGGTGTCATATCAATGCAGGATTAAGGCCTTCCAGGGCCCTAAGCACTGAAATGTTATGGTGCCCCCAACCTTCCTACAAAATGAAAGACTGAAGACCATCCCCCAACAGAACAGCACACAACAATACTGAAAGCTAAACAGGTGTAAAAATACCACTGTTGCCATCATTTCAATTCAAAATACTCGTACTTTCAGATCGAAATGGTCATATCTAAGTCGCTCATTTATATCATCAATAATTGATATGATTTTTTTCTGTTCCTTTTCTTGGGCTCGTGCCTTAGCACGTGCTTAGTGTGTTTTAAATGGTAATCTGGCACTGTGCCATACTACTCTATACTATTCCCCCAACCCAGGAGAAAAACCCGTTTTAAACTGACAATGAAAACTTTGCTTGATTGGAAAAGTCCTTAATTTCGGTGTTTAACGATACAGCATGTGAAGTCGGTTATTTAGTGCTAAGGAAGTAAATTGCATTGCTCCAAATACATTCCAAGGTAGTCAACTAAAACTGATCCGATGACTATTACCCATTTCGGTCGCAGTAAAGTAGGCACCGAGACAACCATTAGAAGAGACTATTGAGTGAGTGGTGGGTGGGTGGATGGTGTCAGATGGGATTGACATCTCATTTTCGACTTCAGTATCTGATTCGCAAATATGCAGTTTTAATTCATTTGGAAAATGAGAGACTAAGTATTTATGGAACCAAGACGCATTAATATCTTTTGGATATCAGTGTTCACGTAAGAATCTCTGTCTCTGCGAGCCGAGTTAGTTTAGTCATTGCCCGTCACTCCTTCTGAAGTATACGCCGCTCACAAATGATCGCCAGAGACTTTTTTTCTGTGCCATTCCCTCAAGAAGACTCCAGGTGTAACCCAGCTTAGTGATATCCGCTTCAATGTCATGTCGCCAGGTGTTTCTTGGTCGAGCCCTTCTTCACTTGCCTTGAGAGTTACACCTCAATGCCTGTCTGGTAAAGTTGGTGGCTTGCGTAGGGTGTATCCTATTCAACCCCACCTTCTCTTCATGATCTCATTTTTTACTGGAAGCTGAGAGGTTCTACGCCATAGGTTGACATTGCTGATGGTGTCCGACCAACTTATCTGGAGCATTTTTCTTAGGCAATTGTTGATGAGGGTATGCACTCTTTTTATGGTCGACTTAGTGGTTCTCCAGGTTCCTCCTCTATACAGTTGGACTGACTTCACTTTGGAGTTGAACAGTCCGGTCTTGGCAGTCAAGGAAATTTCTTTGGATATCCAAATATTCTTGAGCTGTATAAAATCTGTTCTCGTCTTTCCGATCCTTGCCTTGACGTATGCATGTCACCCTGTTGGTTGATAATGCTGCCCAGGTATGTGAAAGACTCCACCTCTTCCAGGGGACTTCCATGCAGTGTGACTGGATTGCTGCTGACGCTGACATAACTAATCTTGAGGATCTTGGTCTTGTCTTTGTGGATGTGAAATGAGCATCATTGTAAACAGTGGCCAATGTGTTGAATAAACCTATCTTGTGCTCTTCATTATGTATCTCTGTGATGATAACAGCACATAATTACAGTAACAATGCCTAGTGCATTTAGGATACTACAGATGGATCTGCGTTATGATACTAATTAGAATTATCTCGGTTTGTTATAATACCATTGAATTTCAAAACATTTGTGTGTGTATGTTGTTGTTTTTGTGTGTGTGTGTGTGTTTGTGTGTGTGTGCGCGTGTGCGTGTGATTTAGATTTTTAACGTAGTTTTAAAACGTTTTTAGTCATATCGTTACGATGTTTACAGTGTGACAGTTTATAGTGAGGTCTAGTACCGGGGTATCATGTCGCAGACATACCATGATGTCCCACCCAGTCACATTATCCTGACACCAGGCCGACCAGTCCTAACACTAACTTATTAATGTTGAGCGCCAAGAAAAGCAGTCGTTGGTACCATTTTTGTAAGTCTTCGGTATGACTCGGCCGGGGTTCGAACCGCGCAACCCTCCCGCAACCGAGGCGGACGCTCTAACCACTAGGCTATCGGAGCGGTCAGGGCACAATACCGCAGACATGTAGCATAATGTCCCACCCTGTTACATTATCCTGACACCAGGCCGAAATCCTAACAAAAATCTCTTAATGTTGAGAGTCAAGCAAGGCAGCTGTTAGTACCATTTTTATAAGTCTTAGGTGTGATTAGGAGGGGGCTTGAGCTCATGACCCCCTATATCGGAGCCGGATGCTCAAACCATTTAGGTTACTGAAGCGCTGAATTTCAAAAGTGCACGAGGAACTCCACTGAATGCCTTGATTAAAATCTGTCAAGCATAGTTTCCAAAAGAATCATTTGGTTAATTATGTGTATCTTTAGTGTGGATATTTAATGTCAGACAATCTGTTTAACTCCGATAAAATTAAAAAAAAAAAAAAACAACAAACATCCAGTGAGACTTCAAGTTTATTCGCATGCCAAAGTCCGAAGTTCCATGAATGGGTCATTGTTTTTTATATATGTCAAACGTCTGGATTTTAAATATTGTTCTGTTGTGCAATTTTTACTGACGATTTAAGCATTCAATTGGAAACACAATCCATCCGCATTTACTTGATTTACGATAAAACTTTTTAATGTTTTAAAGAGATAGCATCATTAATATGGATACCATTATAATTCCGAAACCAAATGACCGCGAGTTTTTCTTTTAACAACACCCACCCACCCCTTCGCCTCATGTCCATTAGACTTTGTGGAAAAAGTATCATGTCTTTTAGAAACCGATCTTAAAATAAAGTTTCGATTAATATACAATCGATGCACAGTTTTAAGAATATTTTTTATGAAAAACACATTTTACAGAAACACTATTGCGATACGGTTGGATGCTGTCTATTCACAGTCACAGGCCCCCTCCTCTCCTCCTTGTATACCACATGACGACTTGCTGGTAAAAATTTGGCAACTTATTTATTCATTGCAATGGACATAATTATTTATTTATTTATAGAATTATTGTTTTCGTATCAACTTGGATTACCTCATTTTCTGATACACGGAATGGTCGTACTTAATATTTTATCGCATTAAAACAGTTTGATTTTGTTTTTAAATTTACTTGAAAGATGTTCTGCAGTGTTATTACTACCAAATTGAATTTTGGAGACTTTCTGTATTATTTTCCTTGAGGAGATAGGACAAGGAGTTTACTAGAGGTACAAGAAGTTTATTAAACCGTCGTTTTCTGGTGGAAGTTACAGACAAAATTACCAAGTCAAAACGTACCTTGACTAAAACATACCTACACCTCTAGTATGTCAAAAGTACATATTTGCACCGCGACACGTATACAAAAACGACCCAAACAGTTGCAGGAAACAATTAACAAATTTCTACGATTTATTACAAAAATTTATAGTGTTTTCCTTTTCAAAATTAGAAGAAAGAAACGTATCAAAGGCATAAACCACGATAATCTGGGTCAATTAGCTATTGACCGTTGATCACTTCAGCTAATCAGCTTGAATCATCGATGATAATTTTTCTACCGCGTCTCTTTTAGTTAATTAATGCCACTTTTAAGGATCAATACAGCATATTTAGCTGCAATAAAATACATTTACATACATTCGTAAATTTAGAGGTTAACAAGAATCGTCAAAGCACAGCAACCAAATGAGCTAGAAAAATATGATAATGACAATAATCCAGCTAAATCCAAATTAATCTTCAGCTGCTTTTGATCATGAGCAGGGTTAAATATTGCTGCCAGTATATTAATTTTTTGAGGGAATGCCAATTATCAATTTTGTTTTAAAAATTACTGACCGACAGTAGGTGCTCTTGAACCGTTTTTAATGATAGCCCATATAAATCATATTTTTCCTTTAATCTAAGATAGCGCTTACTGAAAATTAAATTGAAAAGTAAATTGAAAATATATGCTGACACACCAGGAAAATCCCACCTAAATCTAATTTAATTTGTGGCGCTTTCTTTGTTCATAATCTCTTTTGTTTTTGGTGGTTGGGGTCCCTCGTCTGATCTTTTCTGACAATTCAATGTATCCCGCTCCATAACTAAAAGGCTTATTATTATTGTTAAAAGTACTTGCTATTGTTATTACCGTTTGATTACGTTTGTGTACGTGATTGCTATATTCTTTACAGTTTGAATTGTTTACCAGTATGAATTTCTGTGCAATTTCTTTGTTAATTTAAGATTTTGGAGACTTGTGCGGATTATATCTTGATTGTATGAGTTTTGTTGTCCTTTTAGATCTTTGTTTTACGCAGTTCCTGTTTCAGTAAGACTACAATCTATCTGGTGTCATGCTTAGTGTCGTCTAATTCCTCCTCGCATGATAGCTTGTAATAATATTTCCATTTTCTCTGTTTCTGTCGATGCTGATATTATTTTTTTCAAGTTCCAGGCTTATAGATAATTTCACTTTCTTTATTCTTCTTGTCTATTCTTTTTCTCCGTTCATCTCTTGGCTTTTTCTGATTTCTTTTTTGGTTGGTCTTCTTGTATTAATTCATTTTGCTTTCTTTGTTGTTGATAGTATTCTCTTATTTACTTGTTGATATCATTTGCTTTTGTTGCTCGTTTTGTTGTTTTTGTTTTGTTTCTTTGTGTTTCTCTTTCGGTTCTTGTTGTTTTTGTTTGCCTGTTGGTTGTTGGTGTTGTTTGCCTTTTTGTTGTTGAATCATCCTTCTGTTGTACCAATTCCGTCGCTATCAAAGTATTTTACAAGTTCGGTCAATTCTTGGTTTCTCGCCATCTTTGTTTGCTCGTGCGTCTGGTGCATTGAGTTTGTTTAAAGTTTTAAAACTATCAATTGCTACAATTCCGTTTTTTATTTCTGTACTTCTCTAAGTCTCTCTATATATCTAAATATCCATTGTTTAGAATACAAATATTCTATTGATAGTTGACTTCGGCGCAGTCTGTTTAGTACGAGCCAAGGTAAAGGTCAGGCCACAAAAACTAGTCTTTCCGTCTTATCACTTCTACACGTGCATTCCTTTGATCTTGGCGGAAAAGTTAATAACAATAGCAAAGAGTTTCCCCAACTTTTTCTGGTAGCAGGAGGGAAAAATATCTCTAAGGTTAGCATGCCTGTTATATATCAATGAATATTGGTGAATTTAAATACAGAAACTTTCTTTTTCTTTTTCATCCTTTTGAAAAACAATTTATTCTTTATTTACTCATCCACTTTTGAACCCATAATTTCAGGTTAATCGTTCAAAGTACGGGTCAAATTACTAGAACGAAATACTAACAACTTTGGTAACTTTAAGAGTATTTTAGGAATCCGTTTGTTTTTTGTATGTACAAAAATGTCGTGCTACTGTTCACACCCGGAAATGCACACACACACACACACTCACACACACACACATATATATATATATATATATATATATATATATATATATATATATATATATATATATATATATATATATATATATATATATATATATATATATATATATATATATATATATATATATATATATATTGTATTAATTTGTATCCATTACAATGCTTATTACACAATACCTGTGTATTATTTCATTATTATCTGTATTTACATTTCTTTGGATTTTAATATTTTGAAAATATTTCGTTGCATATTTCACACCAAATAGTGATGTGTCAGTCAGTATTTATTAATAAGTCTATTGCTTTCAATTCTGGTGATATATTTATATGGTAGCTCTCGAAATTTTTAATAAGACTGATGTTCTCTCATGAAATTCAAAATTAAAATTTATCACACTTTGCTCAAAAAATAAATTTTCAAAGAAGTTAGCAACAAATCAAGTATTTGGAAAGCCTTATTGAAGTATGACTTATATATCAATTATTATGTATACAAGATATATTCCATTTATGCATTATCATGCATAACATTATTCAATATATAATTGCTATGCATTCCATATACATGAATAAATACATATACATCTATAAATTAGAATTATGTATAAGATGTACACTATGACATAGATAAATTTCTACGTATACATGAAAATTCCATGTGTTAATTTATACAAGATATATTCCATCTATAAATTTCTATGTATATAAGATATAGTTCTGTTTTTTTTTCGCCATGTCAATGACAAAGCTAGGAAGGGCTTTCTATATATTTCATCAAATTTGCTTTTTTTTCCCCTAAAAAGCAAAGTCTCTTAAAAACAGTCGTTGCTACCTTGCAAAACATGTTACATGACTTAAATGATATTTCTGCAGTGAATGCATTTTAGAGGTGAATTATCAAGGAAACAAACATTGATTGTATTAGTATTAATCAGAGATGGTAAAGTTATTCAATTCATGTGAAATAGCCAGTGAAGGTTTATATTCAAACACCTTACATTTTCATATAAGCAAATCAATCAGCAACCATTTTACATTTAAGGATCTATAGATACGCTCATTGTTGATGCATCATGATCTTTCCTGGAAAGAAACAGCAAATATTCATATTATAAGACAGGTATGTTTCAAACGATAAATAAACCTTAAATGTAAGCTATATATCGTCTTTCTGTTTAAAGTAAATATTTAGATAGTGCCATGACTTTCAATTTTGGTAGCCACATTATATTAGGATTACAAATTGTACATGTCTTGTTCGAAGAAGACCTGCATATTGACCATAATTAGTACTTAATAGGTTTGCTGTTCATTAAATCTCTTTCTATTGTCTGATTTAAAAAAAAAATGCTATTAATGTTTCGGAATTTCTGAACATTATTGTTTTCAGCTGATGATTGTAATGTTAAATGTTAGAGATTCCCATTACTGAAATTTCCTTGTTTAATAATTTACGGTCTCACCTAGATATTAATAAATTAAAATATCCGTTTTCCTTGTCACTTAAATAAAAAATCGATTTCTTTTACTTTCTAGGTTTATAAACCATATTTAATGTACAGAAAGTAGGAGCAGCAGCAGTAGTAGTAGTAGTAGTAGTAGTAGTAATAATAATAATAATAATAATAATAATAATAATAATAATAATAATAATAATAATAA